TTAGCCGACTGCAGTGAAATAGTTATAATTATAGAAAATTAGTTAATTTTATAGAAAATAGTGAAAATTATAGAAAGAATAGCGTAAGACATTCGACGACTGCCAACGATCACAATCCAGACACACGATTTAATTGTTAGCGGTATCTGGAAATCTGTACATTAATGCCCAGCTGTAAACTCATCTTGTAAATAATTCACCTTGTGGGTGAGAGTAAGGTGTCGGTTCACTATGATATTCAATATGTAAACATCGTTTGGGCAACAGTCTCGTGTACCGAAATGAAGTCTAAGCCTACAGAATTGTTTCTTATGGAAACAAATGGTATTTATTACTCAAAGGTGAAAAAAATAGTTTTATTATTTTTTGTCTCGGAATTGTCTTTCTTAATATACTTAACAACACATAAAATAATGCCATACTTTTTATTGTACAAATAATATTTCAATTTTCGCACCCCAGCAAGCTGGCTCCCTGTCCCTCCTTTTGGAGGGACCCTCTGCTGGCCCCCTCTGTTCCTCATAAATCCAGGAAAGTTAAATAAATTTGCCAAAAGTAAGGTTGTACATGTCGAAACCTGTATTTTTGCATGGAAAACTTGGATGATGACGTCGCGAATGACTGGCGGTCGAACGGGTCTTTGGCGCGTCAAATATATAAGCCGGTCACGTGCCGCCCTACACAAGCGGCGCGACGTTCCCGATGCGGCGGTGAAAACCTGCTTTCTGCCTCGGGGGCGGTCTATCGCCTCACCCCTTCTTGGTTTCTGATTTTTATTTCATTTTCGTTTTTTTTTTCTTTTTTCCTCTGTGTTCGTTTTCTATATATTTAGAATTGAACATTCTAATAAGTTGCTACAGTAGAGTAATAAATGCAGTAATGATAAGTATTTGTTCCAAATGTGCGTGTACCTCTTGTTTTCTTCAAGTATTTTCTCATTTATTTTCCGTGTGTTATAACTATCCTCTTTCAAAGGGAAGACAAATCGTAGTGGCCAGGTTGTATTTGTGGTATAGTAAAGAATTCTGGCCAAATAAAATCCTCTATAAATCCCGTTCTAATCGAATCTCAAATTCTAACAACGTTAACCTACCACGTGGGGATCTATATGCCTGTTAGAATGAAACACGGGATAAAATAACGTGTTAAGCGAAAAGTACAATGTTAAATAGCATATATAGTGTATGGAATGAAAACACAAAGACCAATTTAATACATCAAAATGTAACAAAATGCGAAAGAAGGCGTCCAGAATAGATGCAAATTACCATAAATTCATGCAGTCGAAGAAATTAAGAAAAATAAAATAGCTAATAATGGATTTGCCACCTTTCTATGGTTCATGTAGGCACTAAGCAGAATCATGGCATAGTAATTCTCAAAAGTTGCCATCATATTGTCGTGGAAGGACATCATGAAAGCGAACACATGCAAAATAATGACTCTACAAAAAAGTAATAAAATTGCACAATAAGTGCAAGTCCTTGCAAAAGATATCTCAACCAGGAAATAGGCCTTGTTCAATAGTGCATAAAATTGTAAGTTCATAAAACTGTAAAAAGTATCGCCAGACGAGAAGACCAAAAATGTTCAGTGAGGCAGTCAATTATTCGATACATTAGGAAGGCCCGAAAATAGTTCTATGAAATTGGGAGATTTGAGAAGAAGCGGAGTCAAAATATCTGCTAGAACTGTGCGCAAATGTATAGGGAAAAATTTTATCATACCCGGAAGCATTTCTCTATGAGCAAAAATATCGAATAAAGCGATTACATTTTTCCAAACAAGTATCGAAATAGCCGATGAGAATTCAGTTTTATTTTCAGATAAAATTTAAAAAAAGTTGTCTTTGATGGGAGACGTATGGTACAGCACAATCTTAATCAAGAACAGAACCCTCGAAATCTTGTGCGTACATGGTAGCACTTCCATGCTAATCTGGGTGTGTATGAGTACCTGCAAGTGAGAGTCTGCTGTATGGTGTTACCGGACACAACATACATCTTAAAGACAAATCTCTATGTTAAAGCGCTGGACTTGGATCTTTGAAATAACATCGCGTTTTTTCATGACAATCTAGTTGCATAAAGTTTTCTATATTCAATTGCAGTTTCTTTGCAACCCCAAAAAATGGTTACACACTTTATCTATTATCATCTTAAAAATGCTCTCCATAGAAAGAAGTTTACTTGGCCTCACGAATGCCACAGAGTTGGTAATATTCGTGCCATGAAGACTGGTGCAATAATGAACGCTGTTGAAAATCCTTCACGGTACTAAATGTCGTAATATTTTTGTTAAAAATTAATCGTACGGTGACTTTTTGGTGTACAAAAAACTATTTTGTGTTTGAAAATGTCATCAAAGTTGCTTTATTTTGAGCTGTAGTGTTTCGAGAGAATAAAAATTTGTTTTTTGTTCTGAATTCAGTTATCAATAAATTTCTGTAACAGTCTGCTTTATATTCTATAGATTTTTCGCCACAACTTACTAGAAGTGTGATCACATTCTGCACTAACTGCAGTTGATAAACATCTTAAGTAATGGATAAATGATCCTGATGACATTTCAGTGGCATTTGCGGACTAATAAGGGCGTTAAATGCTCCTGGAAACGCTGATAGTGTACTGAGCGCCAACTACAAAATTTCCATTAATTCATTTTGCATACGTCGAAGGTGGACCAGTGGAAGAATCTCCGGGTGCCTGAGCATAACAAGCAAACAAACAAGCTTTGAGATTATCTATGTAATTCATAGGATCCTAATATAGAATGTGAAGAAACCAAGTTCCGTTAAAATGTGAATCATGATTATAGTATAATTAATACATGTGTACGATATACATTTAAGAAACGGTTGACGTACTGAGCAACAGGTATTCTCATTCTTGCCAACCGCAAAATAGGAATAAAAAGCGTGAAAATTGTCCTGCGTTATGTATTTGAAGGAAACCTTTGCTTTGCCCATCACGCATTTGAGCGTGTTCTTTTCCACCAAAACTGGTCAATTAGGCATCTGTATAATGCGAGTGTGTGCATTTGAGATCAAGGACAAAGTGCAGGATAAGTACGCAAATTATTTCATAGGGAATTTTACCCTGAGGTGTCAAGTAATGGGATAGCAATATGCAAATCTACATATGGCAATACTATCGCGTACAACAGGTATAAATGGGCAGTGCATTCACACAGTATTCATTTGTACTCTTAGTTATTCATGTAACAGATTCTGGCGTTGTTATAGCCGCACAATGGGAATTAACAGATTTTGAATACGAAATGTTAGTTGGAGTTACAAGCATGAGAGATTCCACATCGGATAAAATTAAGAAATTCAATATTCCGAGGTACACAGTGTCAAGGGTGTGCCAAGAATACACAATTTCAGGCATAATCTCTCACCATGGGCAGCGCAGTTTTTGATGGCCTTCACTTCATGACCGAGAGCAGCGAAGTTTGCGTAGAGTAACCAATGCTAACAAATAAGCAACACATTAAATAACCGCGGAAAGTAATGTGGGAAGTACGACAAACGTATCCGTTAGGACAGAGCTGCGAAATTTGACTTTAACGGCAGCAGAAGACCGACTCCAGCGTCTTTTTGCTAACAGCCCGACTTCGCCTGCAGCGCTTCACCTGGTCTTGAGAAGACTGACCTGGTCAATTGGACACTAGAAGACTGGAAAACGTGGCCTGGTCACATAAGTACCGATTTCGTTTGGAAAGAGCCGATGGTAGGGTGTGAGTGTGGCGCGGACCTCACGAAACCATAGACCCAAGCTGTCAAGGCACTGCGTTAGCTGGTGGTGCGTGCATAACGAGGAGAGGTGCTTTAACATGAAATGTTCTGGATCCTCTGGTCCAACTGAACCGATCATTGGAAACCATTTGCAGCCATTCACTGACTTCGTGTTCGGTGGAATGGTCTACATGGAGACCATTTACAATCATCTATTGCCTTCATGTTATCATAAAACGATTTTTATGAAAGACAATGCGTCATGTCACAGGGCTATAATTGTTCACGATAACGTTCTCTATAATTCGAGTGAATGATTTGGCCAACCAGATATTCTAGCATGACTCCCATTGATTTGGTCACCTCAATGTGTGATACTAATAAATACTCTACGTAACTGATCGAAGAATTGATTGTTTCGGTAGCTTAAGAGGAACATTGGTTGGTTGGTTGTTCCAGGTGATTCCAGACCCGTCAACTACAGAGTTCATTATTCCCGTAAGTGACGTGAATGTTTTTTTCGTAGAAGTTAGCGGTGATCTTCCTTCGCTGGTTGGCGAGATCGGGCGCCGATCTAGCGTCGGCTAGTAATGTTTCCTCCAAACAGGTATCTCCCACCAGCAAGACACCGCCCCAACCGCGAAAGCTCTAAGCTCCCGACTGGTCTCCCGGCATGCATTCAAGCGGAATTGGAACCGCGCTTAAGCCAAGGGATTGGGACTCTCTTCACGGCCATGGCAGCCAATTTTATGAACACCTCAACCAACCCAAACACAATTTATAATAATGATAACAGTGTATAAGTACGATACACCCAGTAAACCAGCTCTATACATGCCAGGAATACGGACAACGTTGCTATTTAAATCATGTGAATAGCAATTATTTAATGGGAAGCGGCCTTTAAACCTTGCTATTGCATGACATCAGCTGTTTAGTGAGCAGTGACGAACTGATTATGGGAGTGAAGACAATACTTGCAGTAGGAAAATATGGAATACTACAAGTAAATATTTACATTTTTAATCAAAACAGACAGTTTAATTGTTTAGTGTTTTTTCTCGAGACCCTGGGGATCTAACGATACACTCGACCCCTCTCACATGGCCAAAGCCTGTACAGTTTCTTTCAGTTTTTGCGCACATGGGAAATTATTAATGTTAATAATAATAATAATAATAATAATAATAATAATAATAATAATAATAATAATAATAATAATAACTGTGTATAGTTGAAGTATGTTTGGCAAGAAAGCGCAATGCGCTGCCGGCATTCGCACTCCCACCTCGTGATCAAGGCGGCGCCGCTTCCGCACTATCGCCACGACCGGAACCCCCCGACGGTCACGGCCGCTTCCGGCGCCGTGGCTGTCTATCTGCGCAAGCGGCGCGACGGGGCGCCGCCACTGCAGTCGCGTGCAGCTCGCAGCCGCGAGCATTGCAATCGCAGCGGAGACGGCTGTGCCTGCGCGGAGATGCGTGTGGACAGTGCGCGGTTGGTGGCGGCGGTGGCGCTGTTGGCGTCGCTGCTGGGGGTTCCCCGAGGCGCGGCGGGCGCGGCGTCCAAGTGTAGCATTGTGGTCAGGTGAGCGCGAGCTTTTCGTTGGGCAATTTCGAATCCCTTGGGATCGTGACTTCAGCTTTGGAAGATAAACGTATTTTGTGCGTCCCTGACGCCATAAATAGTGTTTTTCTTGCTTCTACACGTAGTAAATTATTTTCTCATACACGTAGGTGAGACAGATTCGAAGTCTTGTAGATCCTTTCACCGGAACTGTTTTGTTTTTTTATAGAAACGAATGTCTGTAAAACGTCTGTCTTAGAACATCCGTATATAACCACGTAGTTCCTAAAACGTACACAGTACTTTCACCAAAATTGTTATCCGGTAATTGATCTGAATGATGTCGCGGTGCCTCGAATTTGAAAGGTACATTTCAATTTGGGGTGGTAATTTACGTCAACGTCCTCAGCCGTTTCAAAGTTTACTTGAAAAATGAATTTTTTTTTGCCTTTCCCCAAATACAATAAGAAAACTTGTAAAAGTTAAATATTTTATCCCTTCTACACTTATAAACCTTCTACATGAATAAAAATGGCACCAAGAAAGAAGTATAAGTTTGAGTCGTTATAAAATGTCGAAACTATTACAGAATTATAAAAAAGATTTGTGTTATATATGCGGCTACAGAGGGTTGAAAAAGAACTCATGAATTGTAATCCGTAGCACTCGGGTTCGAATTCCGGACAGGGTAAAAAAAATTTGTTACGGTAGCACAATAGGCCAAGGGCAGGAAGTTTCATTTAAACTTTGGAGTATTCAAAAATTAAGGGAGTCCATTTAAACTCTAGCTCTTTCTTTGGTTTGGAAATTTTCAAGAAATAGCTAAAGTGATAGAAGAATAGAACTCGCAATGCTATGATTTACGTAACCTTTACCAATAATGAGAAAGTATTTGCAGTTGTAGCATCACTAGTTTTCTTGGTGCTAATTGTATCGTAATTTCGGACATGGTTAATTAGAATGTGTATTTTTATTTGTTTTTAATTCATTTGGTTCTAACTGGGGTTTCATGTAACAGTTTGAGAGTCAGCTTTTATTTGAATTATATTTATATTGTTATTATTATAATATAATTATTATCTTCATCATCATTATCATCCTCCTTCCGGAGCCACGGCTGTACAGCGACTTGCATTATGTATACACACGTGGCTGCAGCGATGTTTCTCTACCTCCAGAAGCCGTTGCCCAATAACTAATTCACATGACGATACAAATTGTGTAAATAAGTGACAATGAAAAGCATTGTGTATATAATAATTTTATGAGCAAGTCGTATGTATAGATTCACGATGTTTAAGCATCAACAATAGAACATTATGTAACACCTTTCTGATTCTTTGCCAATTGCATGTGAAGTCCCGCAGGGATCGATTTTAGGCCTTATTCTCTTTTTACTATACGAAAACGATATGTCCACGACGATTAGTTTTTTTTATTTATAACCAAAAATTTACAATCTATTTTTTTTACAAAATAATAAGTAAATATGATATTGTAGAATTGATCTGACAATGATTGATTTCCAGTGAAGGTATCCCATCGGTACTCTTCATCTACTTCTTCATACTATAACAAAAAGCAAGCATTATTTTGGGTTGGCTGCAAGTGGGATAGTTTAGTAGCTGAGGGTAATGTTTCAGTTATTTGTTGAGAATCTATATGGGAGTTGTAGGGTGAGGTTCTGGTTAGTCGATGGATATCTGCACTATTGTCTAGGATGTTGAGGGCGAAGTGGTTTGGATGGTTTTCAAGGCGGTGGAGATAGTTTGAGCTGATAAATTCTATTCTTTCCAAGACAGTGGACATTTTTAAGCCCTTGTGTAGTGCTGCATTTGTGATGAACCATTGTGCTGCCGCGATCATTCTTCGGGTCTTGGATTGACATCTCTGGATGATCGAGAGATTACTCTTGCTTGCTGTGCCCCAACTTTGGATGCCGTAGGTCCATATTGGGATTATGATAGCTTTATAAACCAACAGTTTATTTTCCAGTGATAGTTTTGAGTGGTATCCTAGTATCCAGTATAGTTTTATTGTTTGAAGTTGAAGGTGCTTTTTTTGGCTAAGATGTAATGCTTCCATGTTAGCCGTTTGTCTAGATGTATTCCCAAGTATTTTAAACTTTCCACCTGTACTATTGGGATAGGGCCAGAGTACAACTACTTGTGGTACTACCGCATTGATTGGTGGAATTCCAGATAAATTCATTTATGATATTTATTTGCGTGGATAGAAAAGATCTGATAATGTTGAAGAAGGGATATCGGTAGAAATTCTGAGTTTAAAATAAGAGTCCATGCGGGTGCCATACTTCTGGTCAACGCTTTGAAGGCAAACGTCTAGAGGTTGCGGCTGAACAGTATTTTCCTCTTTCTCTGTACGCACTAATCTCTCAATGTAGTTTGGTGATCTGCTCATTCGGTAACCTTGTTCGACGCGTGTAGAATGCTGTTGCTAAATCCAAATGATGATTCAGGGACTAGGTTACTACGTTGCTATGTATGGTGTTGAGGACGGTATTCTTGATTGAAGAAGTTTCTCACAATTACTTTTGGATGAATATAGCAGTTGATACTGATGGGACGGAGTAGAAGGACGGTTCATGTTGAGTTTTCCAGGACTTTTGAGAAAACAGAAATTTGAGGCTACTTTCGCATTGCTCCGGGTAGTGCCTGTTCTTATACATACTGTTGAATAATGCAGTAATTATAGTCTTGCCTTTTCCGTGGTAGTTCTTTGAGAAGAGGTGTTGTGATTAGTCATAGCCAGGAGCTTTTTTGTTTGAATAAGGCGTTTATGATTTTGGTAATTTCCTCTTGGGAGTGAAGTGCGGGATTGGAATGAGTCATTTGGGGAGTTAAGATAAATCTCTGATTTTGTTGCTCTTGGTTAGTATCTTATAATGGGATGAGTCTGGAAAACATTAGCAACGAATTTGGTTAAAGGTAGAACGCTTTCTCTGAGGGGTTTTCTGCCAACTCTTGTTTGTCGTCCCCTGATGGGGATTTGATTTGGTCGTTTTTAGCTTCCCTTTGTGGCTTTAAATAAGGAGTAATTGATATCTTCTTCTGGGGTAAGGTTTGGTTATGAAATCTTAAACCTGTTTGTTGTTGAATTCGTTTAGGAGGCGTTTTAAGTTTTGCCTTAGGTTGCCTGTTGTTCGTTGGTACCGGTCTTAGAATATTTTGCAAAGTATGCCAGATTCTCTTAATTAGTCTTTTTTTCTCAGGGCTATTTTGATCAAAAGAACTTTTGGATATTTCACGCCCTCTTGGGTGTAGTGAAGTTGCGTTGTTAGCGTCCAGCTGCTTCTTGAATATTTTGTATTATATACCTCAGTCGCTTGTCTATGTGGTCAGCGATTTTTAGTGTATCGGATGTTTGTTTTCATAGATATCTGTTTTTTATACAAGTCCAGTTTTGTCTTTCTGTTCCGTTAGTGACGCGGGAGAGGATTTGTAGGATAATTTTTGTTGGCCGACTGTGATAATTATTGGATGTGTGTCTGAGGACAGTTCTGGAAGATACTATGATATAGTTAGTGGGTGGGAATTCCTTTGTTATGAATATATCAATTGCAATCTTGGAAGTTTTGGTTAGTCGGGTAGCGCATAAGGTAGGTTCTCCTGTAGAGGTTTAGCTGAAGTTGAGGTAACTGCTTTCAGCAGTTTCCTTCCCTCTTGGGTGAATGACGCCTGCGATTCCCCATTGCGTGTGTTTGGCATCTGTAAGTCTCCACCATACATTTCTAGAGACTAAATACGTTTCAAATCGTGGTTTTGTTCTATTTTGAATCTTGGAGGGCAGTAATGGCACTGATAGGTAAATTGGTCACTCAGTCCATAATTTGTTAACGTTTGCCGTCTTCCAATATCCTTTCCTGTACAGCTTCCTGTTCTTATGTTTATAGTACTTTTTAATTAATTGCTGTGCCACCATGGCATTGCCACTAGGGTGTTAGCTATCGATAAAAGTGTAGTCTTCAGTTAATAACATAGCTTCTTTCTGTGAAGTGAGATTCAGAGATGAGTAGCATGTCCTCATTTTGTTTTCGTTGAGAGAAATTCTTGGCGATGATTTGCCAAGCCGTTGGCCGTTCCAAAGCTGCCAATGCGGAGGAATTTAGCCATAGAATAGTGGAGACAAGCGACGACTATATGAGGTTACATTCAGAGGAGTTTATTGTAGACTTTGCGCATTTGCTATGTTTTCAAAACTCTCAAAGGGTGCTGATAATATTTCATAATGGAATGCTGCCGTCGTTTGTGTAGTTCTTTTACGGCTTTCTGATCGCTGCAACTCGGGCCCATGTTCCTGCATTTACATGTCTACTTCTTGAGTTTTTCGTGAGATATGTAGTTTCAATGGTTGCTGTTTGTGGTTGCACGATGCATCTCTTGTTGAGAAATTCTGTGTTACGTGAGTTGTACCCTTTCCTTTTTGTAATTTCTTGTAACTTGCAACCTTGTAGTGGCGGATGATTGCCTTCACACAGAGCACAAGTCGTTGAGCTATGCTCTCTTTTTAAACACTTATCGGGTCGTGTTCTTTCCCATTTAAACAACCTTATACGGGTAGCCCAATATGACTGTATATTGTATCTTGACAGTTTTTGCATTTAGTATCTCGCGTTTCAGGCGTGTGGTTCGAAAGCAATAACACAATTTAACAGTCGGTTAATTTGAATACTTCTTTTGTTGCTAGGTTTGGGCTCAAGGTCTAAGAAAATTAGAGACAAGAGTGATTTCTTTACGTCATACGGACATTCTTCAATTTTCTAACTTGTGGTCCTTCCAGAAGCGCAGCTTTGATAACTTTTACATCTAGCCGTATGAGTATGTGTCGATCAAACTCATAATATCATGCACGTTCCATTTTTTCAAGCTGGTATGTATAGGTTTACGTGACTGTTGGCTGATAAATGTTTTTGGTCTACTTTCCCTGTATTGTGTTTTGAGTATCGGTGTTATTTTTTACCAATCTTGTTCGTTGGCTTCCCAATAGTTTTATTTCACGAA